CTACATGGATTGGTTTATTTATATTGAAAAAAAGGACATTTTTCATCTTTCTTTGCTTCGCATTTTGTCAGATCAAAAAAGCGAAAGTTCGGGTCAAATGCATCTTGTAGAGCAATCGATTCTCTACAAAACCATATATATACCAACGCTCATGAATTCCATTTTTCTGATCCTTTTTTTTATTACAAGAATGTCTACTAAAAACTGGTCTTGCTGCACATATATATGAGAATACGATAGCCAAGATACATACAAAGTCACAATATTTTGTGGTCAAAATGTAGCCCAGCTCGAGAACTATCAGAATATTTATGATAGTTAACACTTTATACGTTTAAGTCAAAAGATTTTTGTATGGGATCACTTTCGAGAAAATTCATATTTTTGTGGTTTTATAGAAAACCATAGAAAATGTCATGTTCGACATGCCCTTATTTATTAATGAATTTTAAAAAACTGCTGTTGGGGATTTTAATACCTCATTATGGTCTACAAACCCTGAAAGTTTCATGGAATTTGGGAATACTTGTGTATAAAGTGGTAGAAACCCGGTGAAATACCCCTAATGTGGCAAATCGGAGAAGGAAGGTTTTTTTATTCTCGACAATAACACTAATTAAGTGAACTACTGATCACTTGAATTGCGTCTATATCATGACGAACACATTTTCATACAGTAGTTACACAAGAGAATAGAAGAATAAAAACAAAAAATACACACAAAAAATCAATCATAGAAAGAAGGGAAGTGAAGCGTAACAATTATCTACCGTTGCAATCATTAAGAAGTAGAGAATGTTGGATGCCTAAAAAATTATACTTGTCATGTTTCACATTCAATATAGATTATTTTTTGCTCAGCTCTGTTCTCCTATTTCCTCGCTCCCCAGTTTTTTTTTCAAGAGCGTTGTTCTCCACATCTACATACGCTAACCAATGCTTATCAGAATTTGTATAGCAGCTGATTAAGTACATAAAGTGTTAAACACTCACTAAACTATCCATGTAAATAAACTATTCAGTTGATGCTTTTAACGATTCCTTAAGTAAGTAGCGTTAGCGTGAGTGTGATTTCCCTTTATTATATTCTTGTTAGTTATATATAATGCCCACACACTTACACATGGTTCTCCCTTTTTATATCTCAATACAATAATATCTAAGTTATGAGTCCCAGGAGAGATAAAGAAGACATAACAATACAGTGAAGAAAAGAACAATGGGATAACAACACAAAGAAAGCGGACAGTAGGTTCAAAAGATGAGGACAGTATATATAATGAAAGGCAATGAAAAGATGTATGACAGGGAGAGGATCACACACATAGTAAGGAGGTAAGAAGGATTGACAAGAAGAAGGACCATATATATAAGAAGAGAAGACTCACACATACAGTGAGAAGCATTGACAAGACTAAAGAGTATCACATATTCAACTCTACCAGGGGCGTTACAATGCTCTGCTCGCAATCTTGACCTCAATAGAAAATTTATTACGAAATGATATGCATGATTGCAAACTCACATAAAATATGTCACATGTGTGTCACACTTTGGGACTCAATGTGCAACATATTATGAAAACGCAGTTCAACTTTAGTCTTTGGGACGTTTGCCATTTTTTTGTATAATCGAATATCATTTCGAGTCGATTCCATCTCAACTCAGATCGATTCGAGACTGTTCATGGTTGACTATCAATCGATCTTTCAATGTGCTCCAAAATAATGACTACTTGAGAAATAGTCTAGAAAAAAACACATACGAAAATGTGCAATGTTAGTATGTCCAATTGAGTTGATGTATACAACTGTAGGTGCAAAACAAGCCAGTGAATGAATGGTTAGTAAATAGACTATGACACATAAATACGACATATTTTATTTTAGCATTTCGTTCTGAATTTTATTTAGATCTAATTTCTTATCACTATAAAAAATGAACTTTATTCAATTAATTTAGATAAAACGTGAGTTTTTTGTTAATAACAATAATTCAATGTGTCTTATCAAAGTCACATGACAAATACTATCAAAAGCATATAATTAACTGAATACAAAATAGAACAAAAACTGCTCATTGTTAATATAAATTAGAACACAATTGGCTTATTAAGAGTTTTCAATGCCAACTTCTCTAGTGACCAAGTAAGTCGAAATAATATCTCTATATGAGTATATGTTTTTCTTATCTGTTATATCAATATTCCAAAACAAGTTTTCTGTCTTTGTTAATAAATGAAACTAAGAATTTATAAAGATCTATGTCGATTTTTTCATTTGAATGAATCATATATTCATTTCATGACGATAGTTACTTGTCGGATAGAATATATATATATATAAATCTTTTTTCAAATGGGTACATCTTTGATTTAAAACAAACACACAACAGATCAAATAATGATATATTGAGTAAGATGCATCTTGTTTCTACACCTCTGTAATATTAACATTAAAATTATATATTGAAAATTACAATCTTATCATTTATTTTATTTTCTAGACACCCATCAACCAATTATAGAAAATATCTTTTATATTTCTTTTGGATTGTTGTCGGCACAATTATAATTTATTTATTATCTACTCATTCACATTTTACTATCTCAGAATTAGTAGAAATGCATTGGTTAACATCATCATCTTCTCTTAAAAATGTTCATTTAGAATCTAGTGCTATTAAAAAAGAAAAGAATATGTCGAACATTGATTTACAATTTTCACAACCAAAATTTCAATCTCGTCTTTCTCCTTATTATCCTTATTTACCTATACATATTTACACTCAAAATTTATCATCTTTAAGAAATATATCGAAACTTATTTTATTAGGAAATGGATTTTTTGGTGATGAAACATGGGGTTTACATACAAGGGAAAAATCATCAACAGAACCTAGTAAAAAGAAAAATCTAATACATAAAATAATCATAAAATCTATTCATGATTTTTAGTGAAACAACTTTCATGCCCATATTTGGCTCATTATTGTGACATAACAATTGATAAAAAACTTTTTTCACAAGCTGATGCCGTTGTTTACCATATACGTGATCCTATTAATAAAAAACAGGCAAAAAAGAATCGTCATCCAGACCAACGTTTTGTATTTGCTCTTTGGGAATCACCAATATATACACCTAAGCTAAAATCTTATAAAGGATTTTTTAATTGGACAATGACTTATCGATTTAAATCTCATATAGTAGCATCATATTATTCAAGTAATGCTTATATACATACATCAAGTGATTATTATCAATTTATGTTAAAAGAAAATGAAAAAAAAAATCTTAATTTAAATTTAAAAAAACCTAATTATCAACTTTCAGATGAAATATTAGCAAATAAAAATTTAGGTACAGCTGCTGCATTAATATCAAATTGTGGTGGTAGAAGTCGACGATTACAGTTTATACGCTATTTAAAACGTCACATTGATGTTAACGTTTATGGACGATGTGGTGAAAAATGTCCTGAAAATGTCGATTGTCGTGAATTTATTGCAAAAAAGTATTATTTTTTTCTTAGTTTTGAAAACACTCTTTGTACCGATTATACAAGTAGGTGTAAAGATACCATTTTCCAAAAATAAAACAACAAGAGATTATTTTTCTTTCTTAGCGGAAAAATTCTTTTCTACAATTGAACATCCGATTGTACCTGTTGTTTATGGACGAACAAATTATTCTTATTTTATTCCATCATCTGGTTTTATAGATATAAATGACTTTCCCAACTTAACTTCTTTAGCTCAATATCTTAAACAAACTCGTTCTAATAAAGAAAAATATTTATCATATTTTTCATGGAAAAAAGATTATGTTTGGGGTATAACTCAATTTTTCACACCATTTTGTGATCTTTGTTTACGTTTACATCTTGATTCAACACCAAATGTAATCGATGATATGGATGCCTGGTGGAATGAAAATGCATGTCAAGGACCGCGAAGATTGAAATCGTAATAAGTCTTTCAATCTTCTATTAGTTTTTTCTTTTTGTGTCAAAATGCGTATTCTGATTTGTTTCTTTTTTCATCCAATTTTCATATGACATACGATATTTATTGATATTTTAACATTTGTTGTGTTTCTTTTGAAAATTTTTTAGAAGTTAATATAAATAGAAAAATGAAATAGTTGATTGTCAAAAGTATAAAGAGAATTAGAAACATATTCGTGTGAAATTCGATATTATTTAGGTTCTTGCAACATATGGCAACTTTATAATTTTGAAAGACTGATTTTAGACCTGTAACCAGTCTAGATGACAACGGATTTTTTATGCCATTAGTCGCTGTTATCTTAGAGGCGTTTGAATTAAGCAAAAAAACTGATCTTAAGCGTAGATTTTAAACTAGTTCATCTGTTTCGTTCTAAGTGATTTCAATTATGATAGTAAGTACTTTTTATCAATGTAACCTTTTTTTATGAAATATATATCTTGAAAAATAATCAATCTATAAAATAACTAGAAAAATATATAGTATAAAAAATATCATTTTTTACGTTTTATATAAAATTTAAAAACAAGTAAAACAAATACAAAAAACCAAGTTATTGGTGTTACGATAAATAAATCATTCTAAAATCTGTTTCTGTTTGTTGACGATGATCGCAGTAGTTTTTGTCGATTATAAGAAGCTGAAGACATGAGCTCATATATATACAGAATCAACATCAATGTCGGATCCTCTGTTCAATAAAACCTTTCGTTATTCTTCAAAAAATATTGATTGATAGTCAGTAATAACAGAGCAATAAAATTTCATAGATATAGAACTTTAACAAATAATTATTCATCCATATTCATTGAGTCGATAAAATTTGATCATATAGAATAATGGTTTTCTATTGTTCCAAATATGTTTTGAAGTAATTCTTGTCAAACCTCTATATTCATTGTTTTGGAAAATTATTTCGAAAAAACTTCATCTTTCTTTACCCAATCGGCAACGATTTCAATAACGTTCTACTCATTATTAATTGAATCATCACCTTGATTTGATGACCGAAAATGTCGCTCAGCATTACAAAAAATGGAAGGGTGTGTATTGTAAGTTACAGAAATTAAACATATTCGACTCAAAATAAAGCTCTCACCATCAAGCTGACAAATTCAAAATATGCTGTGCTTATTGCATGCGTAGCCTGATATATTCAAATTTCAAGGTATTCACTATTTAGACATAAAAATGAGAATACGTAAGAATTATGAGTCAATCTATCTAAGCAACGACCGAACTTGCTCAATTGAGGTCGTTCGATTCTGTTCAATTCAAGGTATGTTGTAGAGAGAAGAATTTTAAAAATGTTGACAGCCTTTTTGAAAAAAAATATTGTTTTATTATCGAGATATTCAAAGTTTTCTGAGAGTACTATCGTTAGAAAAAATTCATTTTGTGTGATTTTTTTTGTTTTATCTATAGTTCGTTTAGCTAAATATTTAATACAAGAAAAAAACAAATCTTGATGAAACATCATCAAGATCAAATCATACTAGTTTTATATTACATTTATTATAATGAATCAATTTAACGGATACATCGTTCATCTACAATACATCATATCTCCAATTGCACGATCAGAATACTAACCTCCTTGGCCAATAAGAAGAAGAGATACTTCATTCAAACCAAGAATATTCGAGAACGAAGTATAAAATCTTTATATGCAGAACGAAACTGCATCTGATACATTTATTTCAAACCACCGAACATATCTCATTGCTGAGACAAAAAGAATTGTTCTTTTAATATTCTCCGAAAAACAATGATGAAAAATCATTAAATAAAAATCTTCTCTATTGACAAGCAGACCGAACTTGTCAGTACGGTTTGATTTGATACCGAGTTCTGCTGCACACTTGATTCAACCAATCCAAATGACCGAATATACGTCAGTTCTCAGAATGAAAAGTATTTTTTTTCCTTGACACTGTTATCATATGGCAATGGACTATCATTAAAAGAAAATTTTCTCTCTTCTGAACTGTGTCTTCTTCGTCTGAACTAGCTGATTTGACATAGAATTCAATTCTAAATTTTCTATACCTATTCCACATGGTGGACGTCAATACATCGAATGCAACAGAGATATTTTTTGTTTTGTACGCGTAATTAATTTATACAATCAGACAATGATAGGAGAATGTACGAAGAAAAGAAAAACAAAAGGGATGTCATTAATCAATGAAAAAATTTTTTCTTATGATTATTAATGACAGTCGTGTCCTTGTTGTCGTCCTCTGCAGTAATGTTTTGTATCTCTCAATTTTCTCATTGGTTTATTCGGTGACTAACAGAGTTGTATCGCTCAATTTATGAACTTGTCGTGTTCTGTTAGTTTCTGATCGATCCTGGTACATTGTCACACAAGTATATATTTCGATGTGTTAATATTGCACTAAAATATGCTGTCTATTAACTCCATGGTTTCTCAGCCACTTTATGGTAACATCCGCCAATATCATCTGAATATCCTAATTAGTGTGGAGGGCAGGCGTAGGTCCTGCATATGAGTATACAAGTCATAAATGCAAGGCTCGCACAATAATACGAAGAGTTGTGTCGTCGACTATTTTAATAGGTCCGGTGAACTAATAAAAGTAACAGAGCAAGAGTAATGATATAGTATCCCATGAATATCGCTTGTTCGAATGATGAAAGGCTAAAGTCTAAATAAGTACTGCGCACATCGAAGCACGCTCATTAATCAATATGAGACGTTTTTTCAATCATCAAGCTAATACCTCTTGCATAATCAGATACTACGTTTTATTTTATTTTTTTGTCATTTTCTTAACGATATGCGTTAATGAGCGTTTTTCACATTGCTTTCATCATTATTGTACCGATAACTCGAGAAAATTTCTTTTTTGAATTATTTTCAAACTGGCGTACATTATCTTAGCCAATCATGTAAGAAGGAACATGATTGTCATGAATAATCAACCAGGACATGTGAGATATGTGGGCTTTGATATTGCGTCGTAATTTCTTTCGTATATAAAGACAAAGCAGAACCCTTATTGTGTATGTACAAATAAAGTATTAACGCACAGGTAGATTGCAAAACGTTGAATAACTATGAACGAGCAATATATCATTTTATGCATTGCAATTGTAATGATGATGGCTAACGCCTATGCAAACAACTTGGAAGTTACAATTGTTTCAGCACGCTCCACATGCAGTAAAAAACAGGACGTAGTAGTAAAACTGGAATACAGCAACACCGGTAGCCAAACAATATATATTCTTGATTGGTGTTTACCACGCAATGAATTAGACGATCCATTATTCACAGTAACATGTAATGATGTTCTCGTTGAATATCTCGGTCCAATGATCAAACGACGTGAGCCGACCATTGAGGATGTGACTCCTCTAAAACCTGGCAGAATTATATCCACTCTTGTTCGAATATCGTCAGCATACGATATGACCAAAACTTGCAATTATTCAATCCATTTTACTATGCCCATTGAGCGTGTCATCTTCAAACCTGTTCAAACATTGAACACTATCTCTGGCAAGCCCATTAGTAATCTTCAATCCCATATACAGTCGAACAATATTCGATTGGGTATTGAAGGTCGTCCTAATATCCAACGCGAACAAAATGACATTATGAATGTACGTAAACGAGCAGCCACTCTTTCGTATGCTTCTTGTACAACAAGCCAAATGTCCCAAATTTCCTCTGCTTTCCCCGAGGCTCTTATCTACGCCAATAATTCTTTCATTTATTTGAATACTACAACACCAAACGCAACAAATCGCTCTACAACTTGGTTCGGTACATTTTCATTGGCGAACTGGAATACGGTAAAGGGACACTTCCAAAATATCACAAATGTGTTTAGTTCACAGGCTATAACTTTCGATTGTCGATGCACCAAGAGGGGCACTTATGCTTACGTTTACCCAAGTCAGCCATACAGAATCTACTTATGTTCTGTATTCTGGTCGGCTCCAACGAAAGGTACTGACTCGAAGGCTGGTACACTTATTCATGAAACATCACACTTCATAGTTGTGGCTGGTACGAAAGATTATGTATATGGTCAGACGGGATGCAAAAATTTGGCCATAAGCAATTCCTCGGCAGCAATTATGAATGCTGATAGCCATGAATATTTTGCCGAGAACAACCCTTCACTTCCATGAGAAACTTATCTAAGAACTATATTTACGTGGACGATGTTTATGACATAATGTGTTAGTGCTATCCTTCTGTAGAAAAAACATTTTTCTTTTTCTTTGACTAATAATTTAACAATAAATATGTTAAGTTTTATAACATCTTTAGATTTTTAAAATTTCATTTAATAAAATTTTCCTTGTTGATTCTATAAATAATATTTTATTTTATTATTTATTCAGGAATTTAATTAATAACTATATTTGTCTTTTTATGTTAACATTTTGACTCTTCTGTTGTCATAACTAATATAGACCGCGCTGCGGGTTTGGAACCGGAGCGACTGATTTGCGGATTAGAGATGTGGTCCTGTAGAACTTGAAAAAGAGCTCGATTCCAGTTGAATTTTTGTCAATTTTTTATCAGTTTTTAGGCCGCTGAAGCTCCCGTCTGATTGAAAAATTTTAGCTATGAAAATCGATTAATATTGATTCATAATTTGAATTTCGGTGCAGAATAAACTATTTGGTAATTTTGATTATAAGCAATTATTATATATAGGAAGAATTATAACCAATCAATAAATTCAATTATAATCGATTATTATGTAGATTTTGTTTCGCAATAGTCGTAATGAAAATTCTCCTATAATTGACCTCAGCGGGATTTTGATCAATTTTTTATACTTTTGTACTGGTTAGTAAATGATGAGATGAAAAAAAACTAAATAGAGACCTTTCTCTTGCAAAAAATGACGCAAACAGTGATTAAAATCAGATTTTTTCCGTTGTTTATCTGGGAACTATCTGCTCCTATTCTATATTACATGTTAATCTGCTTAAACTTTGTATTAGCTGTTAATCAGTTTATATCTATTCTCATCTTTTAATCAATTTTAATTCATTCTTACTTTGTAATCTGTTTCAATCAATGTTTACTTGATACAATATTTTAATCCATTCTTACCCATTAGTGGATTGTTTAAATTGAACAAGGCAATATGAAGCTCTAATTTTAGACTAACTTCAGCAGTATATACATATGTATATTTTTTTTGGTTTTATTTTTGTTTTGTTTCCTTCTATAAGAAGGAGCACAATAAAGGTAAATAAAACATATATCATAATATGATTTTATTTAGTTTTGTTTGTTTAAAAAAAAGAACGATAATAAAAGAGAAAAATGAACACAAAAAAAGCAAATAGAGAGAGAAGTATGAGTAACACGAGGCTTTTCGAATTGCGTCTGTGTTCAATAAATATTCGCGTGTAGTTAGTCGTATGAGATCCGTAAAGAAAAAAACAAAAAAGAGCAAAAATAAAACTGAATCTGTCAAACAAATTCTTTTTCACTTTACGTGCAAACTATTTTTGTCACATTTGGAGTCCATTTGCACCAGATATGATAAGAGATCTGTAAAATTATACCTCTAGATGCCATACTGTGACATACGAGAAAAGACTCACGGATAATAGAGAACATCTGTCGATACAAAAACGTTCCAGCAGACTAGCAACGAAACTCCCTACTACATAATTAGAGGTGACATCATCTCAGAGAATCAAAGAGTAATACAACAACAATTATCACAAACAAAGAAAAAAAGAAGTAATAAAATACACGTGTACATATGTAAAATTATAATCAATAACCGACGACAAAAAGAATCGTTATCAATGAAAGTCGAGAAGAATAACGAAAAAACCAACTGATGACTAGAAAAGAAGAATGAACATAACGGTTTCATCATCTTCGATATTTTTTTATGCCATTTGTTGTTCAATACAAAAAGTTTTTCTTTCTATTGGTTGATGTTATTTTTTTTCTCATGTGAAATAATTTCATCATCCTATTAATTTGCATTAGTTTTCGAAACCAGTTCTACTAAGTATTTTACTTTATTTCTTGTCTTAAATAAATTTCAAAACTAGTTCGACAAGATATTACCTCATAGATATACATTAAACTGTCTGTTAAAAAGATGTTTTTTTTTGTATTATTCATCAAATTTGCACTCGCGGTCTCGTTCAAAGAATATTCTGTTCTACTAAGCTGTATTATCTACATCTCCTATAAGATTATCCCTGTTCTTGATATCCATTAATTATTTTCAAAGAACGAGTTTTCTTTTGTCGATTCCTATTTCTTTAAGTTTTTCTTATTTCTTTATGAATCTCCTTACGACGAACTATACGCGGCTATTCGTTTGACAAAGACATAATTCGAAAAGCCTCGCGTTACTCATGCTTCTCTCTCTAATTTTTTCATTCATTTCTCTCTTCTTTGTTCTTCTTTTATTATCGTTCTTCTCTTAGATAATCAAAAAATAAATAAATAAAATCATATTACTATTTATATTGTTTACCTTCACTTTGTTTCTTCTTACATAGGAAAACAAAACAGAAAGAAAAGAAAAACAACAGAAAATTATACATATATATAATGATAAAATTATTCTCAAATTAGAATTTCATGTTGACTTGTTTAATTTAAACAAGTTTTTCTAGATTATGATCATGCACATTGACGATAGGAACTTCTCTCGATATTGAAATGCGAAACCCTATTTTATTAGGTTTTNGAAAGTGGAAACTGAGAAATTTTTTGATTTTTCAAAAAACAGCTGGTTTTTCGAATAGGGGTTGACGGAAATCTTGAACATTTTTTGGGAAAAATGAAGTAACGAGAAAAACAAATTATCGTTTATGAAAGAGCAGATGACGGGCTATCTTTCCATGTATTTATCTCAGCTTTGACCATTCCAACGCAAAACTGACATTTTATGAGGGGAGACCTTAAGTAAAAGCTGTCAGTGAAATCCCAACGGTATTAAGATGTACAGCACGTTGGAGCTCCTTATTTTCGACGAATGAAAATGTTTTAGATTATCTCAGTTAGAATTCATAGGTTTTTAGGTTCTAATAACTTATGCATATGATAGAAAGAAAAGCAAGAGAGAAAAAAATGGATTCTAAATTATTGAACCCTGCTAGGTCCTACTAGATCCTAGGATCAACTTTTCTCTGTTTTTTTTCTTTCATGAAGCTTTTTTTTTAATTTCTTCATTAACATACTACGAGGTATTTGTTGATCGCTATCAATCGAGCGATAGATATGATATCATGGTATCATTCTTTCCCTTCTGTTTGTCGTCTGTGTTGATCACTTATTTTAGTGCATTCTTTTTGTTTATGCCCATCTTCAACACTATATAAAAGAGAATTTCGTTAAAGTTTAGATATAAGTCAAACATGTATATGGATTCGACATCTAAACTTGTAATCGATATTGATTCATGTATGTCCTTTTATTTTATTTTTTTTGCAATCATAATTTTTAATCGATAGTCTATATCATAGTGGGTTTTACAAATGATATTGCTCGTCGATAGTAGCGACGCCCGAGGTAAGTTGGGGTGGACTCAGTCCACCCAGACGAAAAATTCTGGTATCGCTACTACTCGTTGAATGATGACCGAATTCATGGTTGGAATTAAAATCCGGCCAAACGTCACGAGCATTTCGACAAAAAAATTATTGAAGCGAAAGCTTGTGAAAATAGCAGTTTGTCAATTTTTTTAATATAAATCTGTTCATTATTTTATTTTATAGCGCTGAAAGTTGTTTATCCAACTGAAACAGGTGTAATAAAAAATTGGGATGAAACGATTGATTGGTTGAAATATAGTTCTGATGGTGTATCAGTGAAACTATATGAATCTTCAGTTTTATTCTAAGAATCATTAGTTAATGGAAAACTAACTCAAGTTGATCAAAACGGGATATGATTAGAGTCCGTTTTTCGCCAGCAAACGATCAAAAAACGACTAATTTACGACCATTTATTGCCTGTATTTTCTTGAAATACTTGACGCAGTAATACAACACCACCTTTTAGTCGTATGCGATCGTATTTGTGCCGTTATTTCACTATGATACGATTGTATAACAGGATCAAGTATTCTGATCGTATATAGTCCGTTTATACTTCGTATTTTCGCCGTAAAGGACCGCATTGTTCGACCTGGAAAATAAAGAAAAGTTGACTGAATTGACGTCTGGGTGTGTGGGTTAGAAGAAGATACTTAACAACACCTGCGCCCACACACCGATTCAAGTAATTCCAGCAGAGATTCACCCAACGACCTGGTTCAAGTCTCCTATTCTCGGTCTAAGTACAACTTGACGAGCTCTATCCGATGGTATGCTTAGATTTTCGATAGCACAAAGTATAATTTTCAGATGCTCACTAGCGCTATCTATCAGCCCCAAAATCATGCTTTGGTCTATCGAAAATGTGAGAATATCATTGGATAGAGCTCGTCGAGTTGTAGTTGGACCAAGAATAGAAGACGTGGACTAACGAGGGAAGGTCCCCAACTGCCAAATCGCTTTCGAGTCAGGAGTACGTGCATAATGTAGGTCCTAATGAGCTATGAAAACTCTGAAAAGAGTTCGGGCCGCTCGCTTATTACTGTTGAGATACTGCATTTTTGCGATATATTTTTAAGCACAATGCCGTGGTCCCCTCAGGAACACCAGAAAAAAAGAGTTTCGAATTTCGCCTTGAAACTTTGCACAAAAACAGGCCTAAGTGAGAGACTTTTATTGTGAAAGTTGCAGATCTTTTGGTTGTTCCTGTGCTGAAATAAGAACATTAGAACCTGTTGGGGGTATACGAGTGATGTAAGAAACATGCTTTTTAGCCGTATCTCAGGGTCGGAACAGCCAAAAGACCTGAAACTTTCACAATAAACTACTCTCATAGAAGCCTATTTCTGTGCAAAGTTTCAAGTAAAAGTTCGAAAATCAGTTTTTTCGGCTCCTGAGAGGGAGCACGGCATTGTGCTTAGTTGAAAATATTGCAAAAACGCAGTATCTCAACAATAATAAGCTAGCGGCCCGAACTCTTTTCAGAGTATTTATAGCTCATTAGGACCTATATTATGCATGTACTCCTGACTCGAAAGCGATTTGACAGTTGGGGACCTTTCCTCGTAAGTCGTTGGGCGAATTGCTGCTGGAATTACTCGACTCGGCTGCCAGAGTCCCAATAGGAAAATACTGGTATTTCGAGATTTTTGGGACCATAGTTTTGGCTATGAAAAATCTGATTGCACCATTGGATAGAGCTCACTGAGTTCTACTTGGACCGAGAATAGAAGACTTTGACCAGGTCGTTGGACGAATCGCCGCTGGAATTACTCGAATCCGCTGCTAACTTCACCTACGTTCTAATCTCAGATTCGATATTGAACACTATTTCAATGTCACATCGAACAAACAATTAATGTTGAAACTTAAACAAGCCTACGGATTTCAATTTGCTCTTGATCAACTAGAATAAAACAATTATATATTTCAATGAAGTCAATTACACTTGATGAACTAAGTACGAACCAGATTAGTGATAAATCATGTTTCATAGAAGCTGTTCTTCTGCATAAAACGATCCCCTATTGTTCAGATCAGGGGTAACTGACTTTTAATCATGATCTGTACTTGAGTCGACTCAAGTCACACTTTTTTTATGACTTTGACTTGACTCGAACCGTAAAATTGAATCCATCAAGTTTATGACTTAGGTCAGAGGCAGTTTAAAAAATGTCCTTCTTTTCAGAACTATCAAAACTTAAAATAAGATATAGACTTTAGTGTGTGCACAGAGACGAGTACGAGTCGCAGCTCTTTGAACAACCGCTACGCATCCCCACAAGATGAAGCTACAATTCCGATACAAAATGTCAGTTATACGGAAACCTTTTTTAAATTTTTCCAGTAGTTGAACTCAACTCTCAAGATTTACATGTGTGATAGATTTCAGCGCATTGAATGGACTGAAAAAGAACGTACAAAAAAGAAAATATTATCACTATAGAATGATATTATTTAAGCTTAAGCAATATTTTAGATTTTCCTCAAAAAAAAAGACTTTATTTTTTTTATCAACATTTTCCGAAGGAATCATAAAGTGGATTATGTGTTCCTGATATTGAAAACAACAGTTATTGTAAAGAAAGTGGTAAGTGAGTAAAAGCTTCTTTCAACTGATTCTGATTTACTATAATTTAAATATATATATTTGATAATTGAATGAAATTAAATAAATCTCTCAAAAAAGATCGTTATCAACTTTTCCATCCAATATACAAACGTGTTCCATTCTGGCAAAGCATTAATCATTTCAATCGCGTGCTACTGCCATCTTCGATAATTAATTTTTCACTGGATACTATTCATGAATATATTATTTCTGTGACATCGATTTCCAAATTCTATGAGACAAAAAATATCAAATTACTTAAACATTATCACCGAAGAATACTTATAACCACAATCATCAAAATGTCTTCTTATTTATCTCTTCATACTTGTTGGCTTCCCAGAACAGTTCTTTTCCAGCGAATTTTTTTACTTTCAACTTTTTCAACCAAATCAATATCAAATAATACATCATCTCATCGATCAACGTCACGTTTTTCACTTAAAATTGCTCGATTTTTATTTTTAAAACGTCGTATTAAATGTGAACATCATGCAAAAAATGAACCAAATAAAGATATGCATTTGTTAGCACGAAGTTTTCTATTTTCACTTGAACCAGGTTCATTTTTCGATAATATAAGCTATTCAAAAAAAAATTTCTTTTTGTTTAAGAACATCGAAAGATTCTTCATGATGAATTAATTCATGTGGAAAAATTATCAACAACAACGACTACTTCAATTGAAATACGTCCTTCACAGCTTGCTGGTGGTAAAAGAAAATGATTTATGATTTATTTTTGAAATTTCTTAGAAAACACAATATTATAGTCTTTCTTGAAACTGGTCTTCCGTATATTGGTTTTGGTTTTGTCGATAATTTTGTTATGCTTATTGCGGTAACTTGAGATTATTTTCTTCATTTAATTTACAAACATTTAGTCATATTCAGGGAGAAACTATTGAAACATTTTTTGGAGCTGCTTTGTGTCTTTCTACAATGGCAGGTAATCAAACAGGAATCGAAGACGAAAAAAGTTTCATATACCTTTCCCTTTAAAGCTGCTGGCTTTGGAAATGCTGTGAGTGATGTTATGGGTATTAGGTAAGAGAATTTTGCTAGACGTGATCTGTTCATTCAGATAATAGAAGATTCTATTATATCTAGTCTTGCGGATCATATCGAACGAACATGTGGACGATTTTTAGCTTTATTTGGTATTGATTTACCAAAATTAACTAAAGCCCAATGGGGATTACGATCTGTGCATGTAACACAATTTTTTGTAAGATGAATTCAAATTTTTCGTTTATATTAATTGTTATTTATTCATAAAATGAATATTTAGGCGAAAGTCATTTGTATTTTTTTCGGTAAGTGTTAATTATAATTTCATTTTATTTATTTCTTTTTCTTTTTTCAATAGGATGTGTATTAGGTAATGGGTGTTGATATATTTTTATTGTAATTAATAGTAATTTTGCATACAATAGGGATGTGGCCATTACTTCTTCGTGATACTTCTTCAAACAAAACTAAATCCATAGGAAAAAATGAAGATTAAGCGCATCATGATATAAATGGTGAATGGTTAGGAACTACATAAGTATAACAATATGATATTGTGTCAGCACGTTTCTCTTATATCAACATGTATTATTTATATAAGTCGGAATCTTTCTAGTCAATCCTAACTAATTAAAGTCAATTCATTTTAATAGATGGATTGCATTTACCAATCAATTGCACTAACTTATTTTGTGTTTTTCTTAATTAACATCTCCTATCATCCGTTAATCATATTTAAATCTATTAAAATAAAATAAATATATTCTTAGTATTTATTATTAGTAGAATCAATAATTTTTTTTATCAAAAACAAATCTATTAAATATATGAATATCATATGATGATTTTTATTTAAAGAGTGTCAAGAAAAAATAAAACGAAAAAAATTTTCTACAACCTGATTTAATTCTTGTTTAAAAATAACATAAGTTACTAAACTAATAAAAACAAAAATAATATTTGAATTTAAACAATCGATATGATTTTTTGATGATTTAAGAAATTTTTTATAACATTTTTGCAAAAATGTTTGAATTTGTAAGATTTGTTCATCATTTGATAGCATATTTTGACATTTTATTTTCAATGGCGTTAAACATTGAATATATTGAAAAGCATGATGACATGTTGTTCGATTAAGTAGTAATAATGATTGATTCCAATATCCACAAGATTCAATAACAAGATTTTTTCGACAATGATATTCAACAGCGATTGTTGTTCGACGCTTTTTTTTTCTAAATCTACGAGGTTTTTTTGTTGTTGTATGTCGTGTACGTGGAAGTCGTCGTGGTATTCGTATTCGATCGTGAAGACCGTGACAACCATGTGATGTTGCCTGAGTTAAATAAACTTTAAATGTTAATTTTAACGTTTCTAGAAAAGAAAAAAAAATTTAATGATAATAGAAAAATTGTAGAATTTGCTTTGGATTATAATCAAATATAGAAGTGCTTTCAAATTTGGCATTTGATTCTTTTATTTTCGATTTATTTCATGAATTAATGGAGAAATGCTGATGTTAATGATTAAGACAACAATCTGGATAAAAATTATTATTTGAATAAATTTAATAATTTTAAATTCAAGCAACTTTGCGTTTGTGAACTATCGCATGCACACGAAAGCACACATATCAAATAGTAACTCGATCAAATCAAGCATGAAATTAAATATTCAAAAGACTTCTCATAAATAACATCGTCACTAATGAGAGAAGATAAGGAACTCAATAAGCGTGAAAATTTTAACTTATACCACATAACTAATCGCATAGTCATGATTAACGAGGGAAGTACTGGAACTGATAACTGTTATTTGAGTTCATATTGGGTTCACAAGAAGGTCTCGGTAGGAGTAGAAAAAGCCTAATAGTGTTCATGCTCACGAGCCTCCGTAGCCGAGCTATCACCTTCTTACTGAATTTTCGATCTGAAATTTTGCTCATAAACAGAGTGAATGACTAGTAAAATATTCTGAAAGCTTCAGTCAAAAAGTAAATATCTAAAGCTGGATCGAAAATTTAGTAAAACAACCATAACGCAGGTGCAGAGGTCCATGGGCACGAACCATTTTAGGATTTTTCTAATCTTACCGAGATCTCCTTGTGAACCCAATATGAGCTCAAACGGCGAGTATCAGTTCGGGTAGTTCCCTCATAAGATCTAATCGAAGACATTAATAAAGAGTTATTTCTGTTTTCCTATGAGTCGTTATCAAGAATTTGTTTTTTTCTTATAGATCTTCGAAAGTCATCAGATTTTATGTCTTCTAATTTTCTAATCAAGTACGTAAACTTATTAACATATGTTATAGACTCATTAAACATTTCTTTCAACTTCTACTTTAATAGATCTTTTTTTCACAATGTCAACCAACTTAAATGTACCTCATGATTTTTTTGTGAAAAGTTTTTCATGCATTAGACACCTTTACATGAAATATTTTATAATCTTACTTCTAGCCTTTCATTAAAAGATTTGTCATTAGAGCTCTATAATTCCGATATTACCAGCAACAATAGAATCTTGTTCGACCACTTTAATTTTCTTTGCTACAACTGTTGGTTTTATAGTAGAATGTTTACTAGAGGTCGGCAATTTCAGGTAGTCAGAATGAGAAAAAAGTGGCTCCTATCCAGTTCGGTTTTCAGTTCCAGGTGTCTTCAGAGTCACCAAATTCTACCTATCATTTATCATTATCAACTATGAAGCATAAGCATATTATTTCTATTCCAATATATCATTTATTAGCAGAAACCTATTCATTGAATGATAAAATTTCACATTTAAATAATAGAAAACTAATATTTGATATCACGAATAAAATTCTTAATTAATATTAGGACAAAATTATAGCTAAAAGAAGATTTCAAAATCAAGAAAAAGTAACGATACTAAAGTTGAACAGACACAATAATTCCACTGGTGCTTTTATTCTTTACCAAATTTAGGTGAATGAATAGTTTTAATAGACAAGAAAAAACTAAAATCAGAACTTCAAGAACAGCTCGTCACGTTGATTTGCGTGAAAAATGTTAAGACTCTTCGCCATTTATATAGTTCTTGAAGAACTACTACAACAATCCGATTAGAACCCTATAAAATCCACTTGTATCCTGCAGAAATATTGCCGTCAACGGGATAACGAAATTACATCCGGACCAGTAGTGTTGAAATCTGATTGAGTCTTACCGTTCAGATTTGGTCGATTCGTATTGTCAGAACCTGACGAAATTCCAGTGTAAGAAACCTATAGGATTCCTAATATTGGAAACTAGTATTAATTAAGTATACTGAAATCAAAAAAGGTGAACTCCTAACTTCGAGTTGATAGGTCAAGCTCACTTTTTCGAGCTTTCTCAAGGTTTTTTACTATTGACTTGTTTATTTGTGAATGACTGTCCAAGTAAGCTGACACTGCTATATATGGGCTATATCATTCTTTAGTGACGTGACATAAGAAAGGACATTCATTTTCACTTCATCTATTTTAGTTTTTTCAAAATTCCCAATTCGTGCACAAATTTAGGAAATTGCTGTAGATAGAGCATTCCGTAGACAACTCCTGAGGTTATAAAAACTGTGTGCAAAACTTCTTCTGAGCATGCCTAGATTTTTCAAAAAAACTGATTTATTCATCGTTAGCGACGCGACGCAGTACAACAACTACAGAGTCGAGAAGATACTCTTGTAAACAACTGGAAAGTTTCAAATCGCCTTCAAACATTCCAAATTATTGCTTGAAGTTCCTAGACGATGATAAGACAAAAAATTCTCGTGTCTCCACTTCTGAAGGTCTATAGGAAACCAGGTTTTAGGAAGACATTTTTTGGAGTCCAATCTTCCTGAAAATTTCAGCATAGATGCAGCTCATGTCCTAGAGCCTATCCCGAACGCTTCAGATTTTTTTTCCTCATCTGGTTATCGAGATATTCGCTAATTACTCTTTAATTAATTAATTAATTAATTATAATCAATAACCATGTGAAAGACCTAACATTTTCACATAAGTCTATGTTAAAAGAATTTATCCAAAAAATTCACTCTTATAGAGAATAAAATCTAAATGAAAGGTATAAATGTCCCGTTTTGCCTGATTTAACCCAATATATACATGTAGTCATCCATGCATATTAAATTCAAGTGTCGAACCTGATTGAATACATGCTAGAATCTAACTGTCAGATCCCGTAGCGGTTTTGTGGCACGAGTTTTCATCGAGTTTTGTTGGATGGTCAGATCTCACAAAATCAAATCTAATTCATTCATCCAGATGATTTTTTTTTGAAATATTATCGTAAACAAACACTTATAGGTGTGGTTTTTTTTTCAAAAATTTTTTATAAATGTTGAGTACATAGAAACTGAGTTATTTTTTTTTCTACAAACAAAACCACTTTACCTTTTGTATTTGAAACTAAATGAAATATAGAATACTGTATAGCTATACATTTGTTTCAATCAATTAAGTTTCTTTATTTTTTGCTTTCATCAACATTGAAAACTTGTTAAATATTCTCTTTCTGATCAATTGAAAAAAAATGTTTGTTCTACGTGATCAAAAATAGAAAGATTTTTTTTTATATCATCAGAAGCATCGTACAATATTTACTTTTTTAGACTTTCAAAAGTAAACATTGAATATTTACTGGTTGTATTTGATTAAAAAGATTTATCTTCAACCTACCTAAAGCTGGCCCATATTCTTGAACTTCGGTACAATTTTCCAAACGTCTATTCACACAGTCAACATGTTTTTTAGCTTCACGACAAAATTCAGCAACATTTATTTTGATCGTAACTGGTGGTAATGGACACTTTTAAATTATACACAAGAAAAACTATTAATCAAAACAAAAAAAAACACATGTTATACTTTATTATAAAAAAATATATCGCATGAACCATAGACAAAGCCAGTTGTAATTATTAATAAGAGTATACAACAATGTATAATGATAATTTTATACATTTGTTCGTTGTCTCCATACAGAAAAAAAATAAGCGAGACAATAAGTCAAATATTGTGACATGTCTTTCGTTTTCTTTATGTTAATCCTCATTTGTTTCGTGTCTCATTTGAATGTAAACATGAATTCGTTCAATTAAAGTACAAATTTCATTTCCAAAGTAAAATTTGGTTGTTCTTTTCCTCACATCAACTTCCAATTATATATATGCCTGTAGTGCATATTAAAAGAAGTCACTCAATTATAGAAGAAAGAAAGAAAAAAAGAAAAAAAAGACGATCACTATAGAAGGAAAAAAAGAACTGAATAAACTAGAAGAAAAAAAAATACATAAGGAGGACACAATACTTCAGCAAGTAGACTTATATTGACGTGAAGAAATAATAAAAAATCTAAGAGTGATAATTATTGTATTACTCAATCGTCTTCATTCATATTATTTTTAATGTTGTCAAATACAATAATCATACTTCTCTTATTCTATGTTTGGATTCTATTTTCTATGGTTAATCCATTTACAACAAGTTCTTTTAATGGGAAACTATGGCGTAATGATGGTAACAGTTTTCATTTAAATCAAGGAAACTATCGAACAATTTTTCCGCAACATCGAAATGTGAATGAACAGTATGTGAAGAAAATGTTTTTTTCTAATTTTAAAAATGGAACATTTTCTTGATAGGATAGAAGGATCAATTGAACTATGCAGAACTTTTCTGATACATCTTCTTCTCATAAAAGTAACCAGAGAAGTTGTGTCGATCGATTTCTTCTACTAAATATAATTCAAACAGAACACTTCAACAAATTTACTGACAAATTTTTTCCCCAATTCTCTAAAAGTTTTAATAGAATACTTGAACTGACATATGAATAATTGTTTATTAGTATACATTATATTGATTCACTTGTTTTTTAAAATCTACAAATTATCATCTAAAAGCATTGAGTATCTAATTCTTGTGGATTATTAAATCAGAATAACTACTTTGCTAACATATTCCAGTTAGTTTTTTTTCATTATGTTGAGTATATACCAGAAAAAAATTTCTTTTTCGAAAGTCTCTTAGCAGCCAATCGTGATCCTATTCAACAACTCGATTTTCATAATATGCATTTACAATGCCTTCTTTCATCAAATACTTATGAAAAATAAAATTCAATATTCTTCAACTTTATATAAAATAAAATCTAAAGATAAGGATTCAGCCCCGTTCAAAAATCGATCTTACCCCAATTACATTCAAATCGCAAGAAATTTTCAGGATATATTGAGGTCATCGTGGAAAGGCTATGGTAAAATGTTCAGTCCTATGTCATGACTTTTTTCCGAGATATTGAACAAAAATATGGATCAAAAATAGTTCCTTTTGGTAACTCAGAATTTTCTGTAAGTCTTCATTCCATAAACTTAGTTTTTTTCTGTTTGACAAAGAGCATGTCAGGATGCAGAGTATGACGCAGTCTCTTTTTTTATTCTGAATTTTTAAGAGCAAAAAAGTTCAGTGTTTCAAAGAATGTAGTTGTAATTATTAAAGTACACTTTAATATAATAGTAACAGAGTTTTATTAAAAAGACCGGCTATGTCATGCCTTGCATCTTGACATGCTCTCTCAAACAAGAACAAAGCTATTGACTACAATGAAGCGTCCTCCAGAATTCTGAAATACGCAATCAAAAACACATGAACAGAGAAAAAATGAGGTACCAAATAAAGAAATCATATTATTTATGAAAGATCAAACATCGGGCTATTTTCCCATGCATTTATCTTAATTGTCACAACTCTTTTAATTATTGATTGTTGATTTTCTTTTTTAAGTATTCAAATTTATTATAAAAAATGTTTTATAAACTAGTATCCATTGGCTTGCTAATGAAATATCATCATTAAATCGTCGAATAAAATTAGTTAAAGATCAAGTTTCATTTATTGTTCATAATCGAGTACAACGTATAATCGTTCAACAAGAAAACACAAATAACATAAATAATATATCATTATCGAAAAATAATGATACACAAAAAATTTCATTAAATCAACAAAATATTTATATAATAAAACTACTTTCATATGAATCACTTTTTAAAGACTATCTACAAGATTTAATTGATATATATGAAATATCATCATCAACAACAACAATTGAATGTATTGCTGTTTTTATTGAACAAAATTCTATTGAAAAATATCTTTTTATTAAATTATCTAACGGAAATATTGATACATATCAGATGCATAAAACAAAATCATTAAAAGAAACATATTGGAATATCAATCAACTTATATCAAGATGGGTTAGTACTGGAAAACGTCTTGAATATTATCGTAGATTTATTCAAGATAATAAAACAAATGAAATTATGAACACTGATCAACTTAAGAAAATAAAAGGTGAGTAACATATTTAATAATGAACAAAAGAATGTGAGAATATTTTTGCTTAGAATTAACAGGATATTTACTGGAAACATAGACAAGGGGAACGATTTATTATTATGAGCCCATTGTAGTTATGTCAATTGACAATTCTTTTCTAAGGAATCTTTTGTACAATAAAAAAAAATCTCTATAGTCTAAGATAAAAACAACTCTCGATTGTATTTTGTTTGATTTCATAAGAATTTCAAATAAAATTTTATATGAATTCAGTGTTTAACTTTAACATGGAATGAATATTTTCTATTAAAATTAAAAAATAACAAATTTTACCTTGAAAAATAATACAGTAATGCGCATTAAGTTCAAACAGTAAAGAATATTTTAAATACGCATACTATAAAAATAAAATTTTCGCATTTATTCAGAGTCATAAGACAATGCTTTTCTGTATATATTTCCTTCAATTTCTATCGTTTCTATTAACTGTAAATTATTAAGATGTATCCCTACTGTTTTATTATTTTAATATGTTTGTACAAAAGGAATTCAGCAATATCAAGTCTAATAATAGTATGAATCATGAAATAATTCAGTGCATTTATTTCACTGGTTATCACAGTTGTTCCAATATCAGAAAAAAATTACTTTCAGAAAGTGTATCAATTAGTCAAACTTTTCGAAAAGTGTAGAATGAATGTTAGTAAAGCAGTAATGAGATATGTTATTGATTTTAAAGCTTAAAAAAATGTATAATTTGCAGTAACTCTAGAACAGCCATGACATATTGCTTTATGACATTCGAGAAAATGTAAATTATTTTACTTTATAATTAAAAAACTTTTTAATTGAGTTTGATGTGTAATGGAGTTCTATGCGTTGAAAATCTAATCATGACTTTTATAACACCATATATAATGCTTTCACAAAGAATATTTTCAGGAACTTATTGTAGAACTGCTTACTAAAAGTTATTAAAAATAAAATTTAATTTATGTAGAAAGAGCATAGGAAATATGAAAAAATAAACAATACTTTGTTTTGCCTTGTAGTTTAAAGGTTTGTCAAATGTCTCTTCAGATTTTTGATGTGTTCTTGTGAGCCGTTATGTTTAATTTTTTTTTCTCCTCAATTCCTTTGAACTCAAGTATAAATAGTTCCAATAGAAGAAGTTTTAAAAGATCGAAAAGCAAACTCTTGAATGTATCTCATAGAAAATTCGATGACATCATCAGCATATGAACAGTTTATTATTCTTAAGTGTAGTAAGAAATCCTAGAATTTAGATGATTAATACATACGGCAATCATAATTAAACATACTTATAGGTATGAGCAGCACCAGCCATTTTTGGTCCTAGTCTCGGTCCCGAACTGGGACCATCCTGCTCATATCTACATACTGGTCTTTTAATACATTATTTCATAAGACAAAAAAAAATATAACTTTAAGAGAAAATATTCTTATTATAATGCAATCATCATTCTCTAACTTTAATATTCTCAGTCAGAGCAAAGCGTCGATGCTATCTATAAATGAGATAGTTTTTATAGTATATGAGTATTTTTATTTAACATATTGCGATATAATCTAAAAAGAAAAATGTCTTTCAACAAGGACATATTAAAATATGTTATTTTTTGTCATAATTTTATGCTTTTATAAATAATGCAGATCGTCCACAGTCACATGATGTTCGTTTCTTCAATTCGATAAATCCAGTGATACGTATGAAGTATCATACTGATCCATCAAGTCTTTCATGTATACTAGAAGATTTTTTCGACAATTTATATAGTATGTATTACAATTAATATTATCTCATTTATTGATTCTTTTTTTTTAAGCTTGCAATGGTCAATTAATCTATCCTCATGAATTATCACTTTTGTCTAATGATCAAAATCAATTTATATTTTATGCTGTTATGGTGAATGTAAGAACTCTTTTAAGAGATTTTTCTATCTCATTTTTTAATAAAAATTGTTTTCTCCTAAGACAACTGTAGAAAAGCAAATTTATCCTCTTGCAACAGATAATCATATACGACATGACGATCAACTATTTTTTCTTTTTGATAATCATCCACGAATTATACCATTATCATTATGTACAGATTGTCTTCATCCTGAACAAACGAATATATTCAATAATAAGCAAAAACTGGATGAAGAAAAAATTGATAAGTATGAAATATTTTAATGAATTCTTTTTGTTAAAATTTTCTTGAATTTAGCATAATAGCTAAATCACAAGAAAACATAAATATTGAACAATATCCTTATCTTACAAATTCACAAAATTACTTTGTCTATATGATTGTAATAAGTATTTTAATCTACATATCATTGAGTATTTGTTTCAGTGAAAAACAGCAATCAACAGGATGTTTAGCAAGAAAACATTCAATATCATCACGTCGTAGACGATAATAATTCTAAGAATTTTATTTTGAATAGCAAAGAAAAGAAAAAGATAATTATTTTGCTTTTTTTTTAAATTGAAATACTACTTAATTAAACTATGAATAATTTTTCATGTAAATATGATAAGAAATAAAAAAAAAAAAGAAAAACAGATATATCTGTTCAATGAGCGGATATGAAAAAAAAATAAGGAAAAAAGAAAATACTATGAACGAATATTATTTGTTGGTGCATGTCGTTCAACTAATATATTATTATTATTATTTGGATACCGAGTGCGACTTGTTCCAGTCGATTGACGTTTAGTAAATGTTACATGACGATGCTGATTATTATTTGTACCTGTATGCTAAAAGAAGCAACAAGAAAAAAAAACTGTTTTTTTTTTGCAATAAAATTAAATACATACACGAATAGGACGTGCTTCTCCGGTACGATAAATTGTACTTGGTAAATGTTCTTTATAAACATGTGTTGGAAATGTATGACAACAGGATGAAGATTTTGAACCATTTTCTTCATCACCAGTTAATGGAATACCTTCATCAATGAATTGTTCATCAACATTATCATGATCTTGAATTTTAATTTAAACAAAAAAAAGAAATTAATCAAAAAGTAACCTTGTAATTCTTCTTTTGTAAATTCAATATTCCGGGTAATAATAATAAAAGTGTAAAATAAATTTACTTGATAGTATTTGCTTTAGACTATATTCTATTAGCAAAGTAATCAAAAAATGTTTAGAGTACGTGAATTTTCTCAATTCTATTACAATATTAAATCATAGTTTCGAACACTTTTTGAAGTCAGATTTATCATTGAAATATAAGTAGATTAGTGATATAAATACGTGTTGACGGAAGACATGTAGCTATGATTTGAAAAAGATAAAATTTAATCTCAGACATCTGTCACTCAGAATGCATTACCTAGAACTGTATTCTGAACAATGCAATGTGTAATATTCTTTCATACACCATTTTAAAAATCAAAAGTCATAATGATATTTGATCTATTTGATTAATTCTACTAGTCAATTACTGAAGTTTAAAAAAGTAGATCAAATTACTTTTTTTTCTATTTATCTTTTTTTATCGATAATACGAAGTTCGTTCACTGTTGGAGAAAAAAGAAAATATATGAGTATATCGCATATTTCATATGTAAATTTATCATCAAGACACTGCCTCCTCAAAATAGAATTTTCATGCTAGTACATAGTATTGAGTTGAAACTTTATGCACATATTGAGACTGCCTATTCATATAGAGAACAAAATTTTCCGACTCATTTTTCATTATTGGTTGGAACTATAGCAATTTTAATATCCGTTTCTAGGGCTTTCGCGTCTCCAACGTCATTCGACCAATTCAAAAGACCGAACGAATATTTTTTATTTAGAAGAAGACACATGGTGCTGATGACTCTCCTAGTCCTATTTGTTGACTCTTTGAGACATGCGTGATTTAATGAAAAAAATGCTCATATCTCAATAATAAAAATAATTTTTTCTTCTTCAATTAAAATCTATTTTGACAAAAGGTCAAAAGAGTCTTAAGAATCAACTTCAAAATGAAAAAAATTGCCTTTATCTCTAGAACTCATCGAATGACGTTGAAGATGTAAAATATCCTTCAAGATTTTCGACAGACCACAAGATATTAAATTGACGTTTTTTTTTTGAAGATGTGTTGATGAGATACCTCAATATATACATATAGCATCAGTTCAATGTGAGGTAATCAATCGAGGATCCAAGGTTGATGAGATATGAGACCGCAATGGGTTATAATTTCAATTGTAAGAGCGAAAGAGGCCTTAACTGACGAATTAATTTGTCAACAGTTAATTTAATGATGAATTCAATTAATTAAAAAGTTCCTTACGATTACAACATCGTCGTTGTTTTTCTTCATTTGTTGATGTTGTTGTCTCTAATTCATTTTCATTTTTAAGTAAAACCGACATTGCTTCCATATTTAAGGCACAAACTCCACGCATAAAAGCCTTTTTTAAGGCTTCATCATGTTCACCTTTATCAATTCTTAAACGTGCTATTTCTTCATTTGCATTTAATAATTGTAATTCTAATTGTTTATATTTTAATTCATATTCATTACCTAATTCAATCAATACGTCTTTAGCTTTTTTTTCACAAGCTAATTCAAAACGTTTTTTCCATTCTCGTTCAACTGCAGTTTTCCAATTTGTTAATGCTTTCTAGAAAAATAAAGAAAAATAAACTAAAGTTTAAAGACAAAAATTCATTTTCGATTATTTAATATACGCGTTTCATTTTATCTTCATAGAATCGTTTAGCAAGCATTAATGCATATTGTTGTCGTCGTCTTTCAATATGAAGTATACGCCATTCATAATAACGACGATAAGCAATTGTTTTATTATATAATAAATCTAATGCTTTATTAAGATTTTTTTCGGCTTGATCTTTTTGATCAATTTTATGTTCATAATGTGTTAACATGTCACGCATAGTTTTTATATCTTGATTTAAACGTATATATTCTTTAGCTTGGCTAAATAAAAAAAAAAAAGACTTCTTTTTTCTTCCGATAGATGTTTTCACTTACGCTTGTTTTTCACGTAGAGTATTTTGTTGTGCTTCTTCAATGAATTGTAATCGTAATTTATCAAATTCAGTCTTTGAAAAAAAAATTATCAATTATAAAATTAAATTAAATAATAGAAAAATTTTCGTTTTTTTACCATTAAATTTTTTTTCAAATCTAAATACCAATGATCCATTTTTTCAGTTATTGGTTTTGATTCTAATTCATTGGATATTGATTCAGTATAACGAAAAAGATGATGTACAAGTGGATCATCACATTCTTTTGATGTTAAATGATTTTCAGTATTTTGTTGTTCATTTATTGAAAATGTTGCTGTACTAAGTACTTGTTGAAGTGATGGAATTTGTGATAATTGTTGCCGTTGGGTTTCTATATGAAAATTTACTATTATATGTCAAATAAAACTTATGAGGGGAGTCGTCGCGCTGATGAATCGCTTTTGATTCGAGACTATGCGTATTATGTAAACCCAAATCAGCTATGAATATCCAGGAAAGAATTTGTGCCTCTGAGTTTTTGTGGCAAAAATACTGCACTTTTACGGTATTCTTAAATGAATGTCATGATCCTCCTCAGGAACACAAGAAAAACTATTTTTTCGAATTGTGTCTTGAAACTTTGTGTAGAGACAAAGAATAGCTTTCTGCGAATGTTTCAGATCTTATTACTGTTTCCATCCGAAGATATAGCTATGGTAATAGTGTGTCTTTTACATTCATCGTACTTCAGCATAGGAGAAAATCAAAAGACCTGAAACTTTCACAAGCAACTATTCGTATTAAGAACTGTCTCTGTGCAAAGTTTCAAGTCAAAATTTGAAAGTGAGTTTTTCTTGTGCATCTGAGGGCTATCACAGCATTGAGTAAAACAATACTGTAAGAATACAGTATCTAAGCAGCAATAAGTTAAGAGTCCGAACCATTTTCAAAATATTCATTACTCGTTAGGATCTACTTGATGTACATAGCAACGATTCAAAAGTGATTAATCAGTAGAAGGACTTTTCTCACCAGTTCACCTTGAGAGATTTCTAAAGTTATGTTAAGGTAATCTTTTCTGTGGGTTTTAATGGGCTCAACTCACTATGTACCTATGCTGGGATGGGATCAAGACTTGGACACTAGTTGTTACGACATGTGATAATTAAATTTGATCATATTCTTTTTATGGCTTATCCTGTTCATGATCTACTCTTTGCTCTTCTCTTCTCTTTCTTACCTTCTATAAAACTCCTTCAGATCTAATACTCTGTGGGTTTTGGCTATTCAATTTCATACAGCAAAATGAAAAAGATCAAAATGATTATAAATCGTTGCTGAATGCTGTGTGAATAACTAGATCGATCATTTGATGACCTTGTTTCTAATTTTTTTTTGTTTCATCGCTACCGGTTTGTTGTATATCGTAACATATACAGATGGCTAAGTGTTAAAGAATACAAAAGAAAAAGAAGATCCAAAAGAGGATCTACAGGAAAGATAACATAATCTAATGTTATCATCATATTTTATGACAACTAGAT